ACCCACCCACCCTCGCTCCTTACCTGTCCTTTAAGCCTTTGGCGCCTCCGTGCATGCAAATGGCGTGTACGGCGCCTGCTGGTTGGAACGGGATCTGGAACCCACCACTGGTCCATGGCTGTGGTCGAGACCCAATATCCAAGATGAAGACCGTTTTGTCCATGGAATCCATGATGAAGAAAAGGTTGAGATCCACTTATGTAAGATATTGGACCAAGACTGTGTTGACTCATGCTCAAGTCCATCCTCAGCCTTAAAGTTCTTCAGATGACTTTGAGGCAACCATTCTCTCTCCCAGCCCAAATTCTCCCATGAGAGTTATGGCGAAGAAACATTTGGAGAGGGAGAACATAGTACGTTACTTTGATGTCTTGGAAGAAAGACAAGTTATAAATCTAATGAATAAATAATAACTAACTTCTGGAAAGCCTTTGAGATCTCCTCAAGTGCCAAGTGTACTAGATGTTAGGTTCATGATGAGCACTGTTTGTGTTATAAAATAATTTTGCTGGCTCCAACGGGAAACAAAAAAAAATACGTTGGATTCCACTTTCTGCCAAACTCGCTGCAAAGTCACAACATCCACACCCAAGATGATTTAATCAATTTATTTTCCACCACCCCAGAGGCTGTAAAATGGCATGGGAATTGCAATAAATCACAACTGATAAGTGAATTCCAACTTTTTCCTTCCTTGTAGTGTACTCCAAGTTGTGGACCTGGCTTCCGTCATCGCGTTGTCCTTTGCAAAAGTGGCGACCATCGTGCCACACTGTCTACCTCCCAGTGTCCCGAGAGCTCCAGGCCCCCAAACACCATAAGGTGCAGTCTTCGGCGCTGCCCACCCCCGCGGTGGGTCACTGGCGAATGGGGAGAGGTACACAAAGTTTATTTTTCTCCTACAGTTTTAAAGCATTAGTCAATAATTGTTCAAGAGTCAACACACTGCATGTTGGAGGCACTGAATCCAAGTTCAGAGAGCCAGTAAGAAGAAGCTATCAAAACCTGATCTGCCATATTACCGTATTTTTCAAACTATAAGACACACTTCCCCTCCCTAAAAGAGGCTGAAAATTTGAGTGCATCTTATACTCCAAATGTAGTCCTGCCCACCTGCCGGCCCCCACACTTCGGCTTCAGCGCATCCTCTTCCTGGCTGTAGATTAGCACAGACAATGTCTTGCATTTTTGGGCTCCGCACCTCACGTTTTCAGCCTCCAAACACTTCGTTCGAGACCCGTTCAAGGCTCCTGGGATCGCCGGAGCACATCGCTGCCAATAGTCACCTCTGCATGTCGTGTTTTCGGGCGGCGATCGAAACATTTGGAGGCTGAAAACGGAGCCCAACATGGCCACCTGGAACAGCTGCTGCCTTCTCTTACCTCTTCAGCACTTCACCTGCTTTACTAATTGCAGCTTCCTGCAATGATCAGCTGTGCTTTAGAAGCCGCTTTTCAGCCTCAATAATCAGCAGACTAATGTGTTGAAGCTGTGCTGAAGGATGCTAGCCAGATGAATACCTTTTTTTCCTATTTTCCTCCCCCAAAATTAAGGTGCATCTTACACTGTGAAAAATACGGTAACTGGTTTTAGTTAAGATTAAATCCTTTGAGGTCCATTTTTTTCAAAGTAACTGAAGAATAGTTATGTTTTCAGGGAAACAAGTCAAAGCAGGTTCACCAAATCAGCCTTTTATGCATTCAGAGATTAATGATGTTTGAATCGGAAGGGCCAAGGAGAGGATGGTGATGAAAGGGTTAAAACCTCCATGTAAAGCAGGGGTCTCCAACCTTGGCAACTTTAAGACTTGTGGACTTCAATTCCCAGAATTCCTCAGCCAGCTTGTGGACTTCAATTTCCAGAATTCCTCAGCCAGCAAAGCTGGCTGAGGAATTCTGGGAGTTGAAGTCCGCAGATCTTTAAAGTGGCCAAGGTTGGAGACCCCTGATCTAAAGCTGATCTGCCATACTGATTGCTTTTAATCTAAGACGAAATCCTTTGAGGCCCATTTTTTTTCAAAAGTAACTGAATTAGTCCCCCCACCACCACCATCCAGTCAGAACTGATTAAGCTTCTTGGATGAGAAGCGAAAGGTCGTCTTCTTCCTCAAGGAAAAAAAAAAACATATTCCGGTTTCCTTTTGGGGGGAAAAAATACAGTATCTTTCAGACAACCCTGGACGACTGAGAATCCACACAGACACACATTTTAAAGTTGCAGAGGTTGAGAAACACTGCTCAAGGCACAGCAAAAGGCTGAAGGGCTGTGCTTCGAACTTAAAATATTANTAGAAAATGCCCCCTACAATACAAACCCAATATACCACCTTGGCCCACCATATACCCTCTTTCAACCCCCTCCAACTTTCATTCTTCCTTCTTACTATTCAGCTTCTTGATTACATGTACAGCTTGTATAATTTGTACAATAACACCTGGATTTCCTGCGTCCTGTGCATAAATCTAGTGTCAAATGGCATCTTCACAAAGTACTGTAATGCCCTCAAGTTTGTGATGTCTACAACTAGTCTCAGAATGGATTTCAAGGCATACCGTATTTTTCAGAGTATAAGACATACCGGAGTATAAGACGCACCAAGATTTTAAAGAGGTAATTTTTTAAAAAAAGTTTTTGCACTGCAGACCTCCCAAACCGTCTGCAAGCCTCATTTATGAGCAAAATCGGCCCATTTTCACTCATTTTTGCCCTCCCCAGCCCCCGGCAGCACTTTGCAGGTCTCCCACACCCTCTGCACGTCCATTTTTGTGAAGGGGGCAGGGTTTCAGGAGGCCAAAAATGCTGTATTCAGTGTATAAGACGCACCCAGATTTTCACCCTCTTTTTGGGGGGGAAAAGGTGAATCTTATACTCTGAAAAATAAGATAAGTTACCATTCATATGATCCTCTGAAGCTCTTTCTGGTATATCTACAATGGGCTTTGCCCTTACCAGGTCTGGTTTAATGCCTTTTTTGTTCGTGTTTCTTCCAGATACGCTATATTTAATGTTAAAACAAGATTTGTTTTTGTTCAATTGGTATGTGGGGACGTAGCCTTTCACAATGCCAGAGCCGTGGTGGTGCAGTGGTTAGAATGCTATATTGCAGGCTTACTCTGCCCACTGCCAGGAATTTGATCCTGACTGGCTCAAGTTGACTCAGCCTTCCATCATTCCAAGATCAGTAAAATGAGGACCCAGATTCTTGGTGGCAATGTGCTGGTTCTGTAAACCGCTTAGAGAGCACTATGAAGTGGTATATATCATATTTTTCAGAGTATAAGAAGCACCAGAGTATAAGACGCACCAAGGTTTTAAAGAGGCAAATTTTAAAAGAAAAGGTTTTGCACTCTGCAAATCTCCCAAAAATGGCCGATTTTTTACGAAAACGGGCCCATTTTTTGTCCAAAAAAAGGGCATGGGTAGCCTTTAGGAGACTTATAGAGTGCTCCTGGGGCCTGTGGGGGCAAAACTTAGCAAAAAATGGCTCATGTTTTGCTCATTTCTGCACTCCCCAGCTCCCAGGAGCTCTCTTAAAGCCTCCTAAAAGTTATGCATTTTGGTGAAGGCGGCAGCGTTTCAGGAGGCAAAAAAATTCTGTATTCAGTGTGTAAGACACACCCAGATTTTCAGCCTCTTTTTTGAGGGGGAAAAGGTGCGTCTTATACTCTGAAAAATACAATAAGTCTACATGCTGGTTCTAATCATGACATGTTCTTTCTCTGTGACACCCCCCTCAAATATGCCTGTACACCATGTATTGCCACCAGTTATTGCACTAAACACTTCAGAAGCAAAATGCCAAAGGACATGCAGTCTATATTAACCATACAATGTATTAAAAATACATGGGCATATTTTTCATTAGTATGTGCCAAACCCTCGTGCATCTAGCTTGGAAAATATCTTCATGTCTATCTGTTTCATTTTTCTTGGGATGTCATAATTCTGTCTTTGAATTTATTTAAGTCTTTGAGGTCCAAGCAGCCTTTCATCTTTCTGGTGACCTATAACCATGGAGTGAACACATTCAGTTCCATCTTCATGCACTAAATAATTCCTATCTTCATTTTAGCCAGTTCTGCTTTCAGTTTTGTTCTCAATGCTTCGGGCATGCTTTTTATAGCATTACACGTTCTGTGTCTATATTAAGAATTTTCTGATGAGTAATTGGAAGACAGCCAATACTTAAAATCATAGAATCAGATATGTAAGAAACTATAAGGGATCATCTAATCCAGGGGTGTCCAAACTTGGGAACTTTAAGACTTCTGGACTTCAACTCCCAGAATTCCCCAGCCCCATCTTGTAAAATAAATCAAGGTGGGCAGTCTTGAATTTCTTCTAGAAATCTAAAAACTTGAATTAATATTATTTTCTCAAAATCTGTAGAACTACCCAACTGAATGTATTTGTGTCCCCTTTATAGTACAACTAGCTGAGAACTTAGCATTATCCAGGTATTTATATATAGGGGTGGGGGGAATGTCCGGACCAAATGTAATTTCTAATGTTGGATTTTCCCCCCTTATCAGAGGGAGCCCCCTTGTGGAGTACTGTGAAGCTGTTACCATGGCAACTCCACTGCTCTGTATAGTAGAAGCCATTTTACGGCAGTACAGTAGAAGCCATTTGAAGGCACAACCGGCTGTATTGTAACAGAACACACACTCAGGGGGCGTTATGGGTGTCTTACCCCCCACAGTATTTGTTTCCAGAGAGTAAGTCATCTGTGTACCAAGTTTGGTTGAAATTACTAGAGGCATTCCAGAGTTATGCTGGAACATACGCACACACACATACAAACACACACACACACACAGATGTTTTTATAGATAAAAAGACAGACAGACAGATAGATAGATAGATACAGAAGGAAGATAGATAGATAGATAGATAGATAGATAGATAGATAGATAGATAGATAGATAGATAGATAGATAGATAGATAGATAGATA